GTCAACTTAATAATTATTTCCTTCCCAATAAAACATAAGACGTTACTTCTCAAGCCGCAATTCGGCTGACGTCTGAGGAACGCAGCTATGGACTTCATTATTTTTATTTATGTGTTTCACAAGATGCGTTATGAGCGTCACTTCACCCTTCTCACGGACCAGAAGCCCCACCTTGCGATTTTTTGTCTAAGACAGGCACTCACATATACTTGAAAATTCGTCTGCAACTCTGAACAACAATACTGTTGGGATAGGACTTCGTTATCCAGTACCAGTGACTATGCATGCTGACTAGGCAGATTCATCCTCGTGCCTAATCAACTCATAGAATAATGCTCTTGAGAGTACAATCGTCGCGTCCGTCCCCGTTGAGTTCCGCGTTACGTGCCTTGGTATGGACTGCAATCATACACTCCCCATCAATATTGAGGGAATTACGGGCGAAATATAACAACATCCACTGTTTACACAAGTAATTGTGTTCCATCGCGCTCACTGACCTGCACAGTTTCCTAAGAAATACCAAAAGTTTCACCAAAAACAACGATTTCTTTTTACCGTCTTCCTCCAACAATTAATTTGGACCGTGAAATAACCTTTTCGATGCGATTTTATGTCTCAATTTGTGAATCCATTCAAACATAGCCATTCTGCAGCAATCATAGGACTCACTACTACGACTACTATGATGGGCATAATAACCTTACCGATAAGGATAACAGAGGCTGGAATGGTAAGTTCAGACTTATTAGCTTTCATTATTCAGCCATAGCCAACCTCAGGTCTTACGACCACTAAGACTCAAAGCCATGAAATGTTGATAAGACGTCCAGCACCCGAACCCTTGAGTATAATTGGGATGCGTTTGTCCAGTAAAACGATCGGTTGGCATCCGTCTGCTATTGTTTATATACCGAATTGCAGCCAAGACACCGAGTCCGTGGCTCAGTGGTCAGGGATGTGGACTTCTAACTACCATGTCCTGAGTTTGTATTTAAGGGGTTGCTATAACGTCTGGTGTTTGTGAAGGCTGGCTTATGATAGCTAATAATCCACAAATAATCACTGCAGACTCCCCTGCCATGATTGGCAGTGTTATTCTGCTCATTTTGCAGTAATAAGCAAATCGAAAGACTATGTAACTTTTATATTTTGGCTGAATCTACTTGATGCATTAATCTCTTCACATTGCTGCTCATTCTTCTGATTTGTGAATAAAGGCGTATGCCTGTTCCCCCCAAGTACCATGAACTAAAATTAAATGAGATGAAAACCACATTTGAAGCATGGCCTGCCCCCTCAAGCCCATGATCCACACAGCAAATCCCTTAATTGAGATTAGTCAATTGTCAGACGTTTCTTATCGTTGTGGACGCATACAGCAAATGACCTGAACTTTTGTTCGCAGACCGCAAGACAGTGGAATAACGGTTTAAAACATGCGATTTTACCGAAACTTTGTTTAGCAATATTTAAGGTCAGTTAATATGAGTCGCTCTGGCCCTATTATACTAAAAGTTGAGCCTTGCTAGTAAGCATTGACCACATGTTCATCCAAGGTCCAAGGGACATTTCACGCGATTTATTGACATGTTTAACCATACTCTCTACATGCATATAGAAAATGCGAGAAAACGTCTGCTGCAGTCTTGCGCAGTCCAAACTCGAAATCTGAAAATGAAATATCCCCTGTGGAAGCTATGGTACATGTTAGAGTATGAACTGGAAAATCGGCATCGCAAGAAGTATACTTCGGTACAAGAAGTCCTTTGGGAAACTATAGTTAGAATATCATGGATATTTTGAATCAGTATCCAGTCATAACACATACGTCAGTTCCCACTGATAACCACACTTGGCGCAGTA